GACATGTAATGGAGTCAGAGTAAAAAAAAAAAAAAAAAAAAAAAAAATCAACATGATGTAGATGCAGAGTTCTCAGCCTTCTAGCAGCTCCATGAGGCTCCTCGGACACACTGCTGATTCGAGCTAAACACTAACATGCTGATGTTTAGCGGACGGTGTTTACCATCTTAGTTTAGCATGTTAGCATAGTTGACTGCTGGAGTGACGTGAAACCGGTAACGAGCAGCTGCTGTTGTGTGTCTGCAGGCCGTGGAGAATCCGTCCTGTGCTGAGATCAGAGACGTCCTGACGGCTGCTGGAGTGAATGTTTATGTGGAGGTAAGCATGAGAGCTGCGAGTGCTCGGTGAAGATGACAGCAGATATTGCACCTGCTTCATTAGGAGCTAAAAACCATCATCCTGTGTGTGTGTTACAGAACAAGATGCACCCGAGGGAGTGGAACAGGGACGTCCAGTTCAGAGGTCGAGTCAGAGTTCAGCTGAAGCAGGAGGACGGCAGCCTCTGTCAGGAGAAGTTCTCCTCCCGTGAGTCCACACACACACTCGGCCCATGTTGCTCCACCATTAACATGTCACAATGCTGTCGTGTTGTTCTGAGACAAAGCAACAAGAGAAACCACCAGTTTTAATAGACCGTGTTTGTGGTCACGACATGAGACGGTGGACGTTTGTCTTGCGGTTTCAGAGCCGTTGCTCTCCTACCTGATACTGTCTAGAACTAACGAGATTCTGTTTGCAGCTCCTCTAATACTGAGGATCTGCTGATACCGAGTCAGATAGTTTTACTTATCCAAGTCTCAATTAAACCTGCATTAACTGTGATTTAACACAAGTTTGGATAAATTTAGTCTAAATTGTCTAAAGTCTTTTCTCCCTGCTGCACTAAGCCCCGCCCACTCTGGAATCTTCGGGCCTTGTGTTTATTTCTTGCTCCCTGTGGCCACTGTTCAAATCTGCACCTCACTTTTCCCTTAATGGCCGAAAATTGGAGGGAGATGTCCATGTCCCGCTTGTCAATATTCAGATGTTTTAAAAAGAGAGTGTCCAAAGCACCAGGGAGAAGGATTTGTGCCATCAAGTTGCTCATACAGGGAGTTTCTATTGTGGCTGCTAAAGATGTTTTTATTTATTTACTCCCAGGTAAAGACGTGATGTTTTATGTAGCAGAGATGATCCCTAAACTGAAGACTCGGACCCAGAAGAGTGGGGGAGGAGACACCAGCTCTCAGCAGGGGGAGGGCGGGAAGAAGAGCAAGAAAAAGAAGAAATAGACCCACAGACGTTGGGTTGTATTTTTCTTTTAAGATTTAATTTAAAACTGGAGGTGACTGTGAAGTGAAGGTTTAGATCGGTGTTGGCAAGAATCGAACCCTGAACTCATCCAATGTTTTCTTTTTTACTGAAGCGTTTGTTGTTGAGGATTTAATGTTGCTTTGGAAACTCATTCAGCTGTGGGCTCCTGCCATCATGTTTCCCCTTTTTTTTTTTTTTTTTACCTGATGGTGAACATTTCTGCAACCTGAGAAAACTGCTCGGCATCAGCACAGTAACTGAGTCGTTGTGATGAAGCAGGACCATGTGGAGTGATGGAGAAAGATGTGTATCCATGTTTCTGTCTAATGCCCTGCCCCCCTGCTCCACATTTTGTTACCTCTACTGTGTGGCTTTGGAGAAAAAGATGAATAAATAGTTGATTTTCTCACCTGTTTGTTGGTACAATTTGATCAAACAAACACACGTCAGGAGCAGTGATGATATGTATATGTGTAAGTTTTGGAAATTTAATTTGTCTTCATTTGTGTGAATAGATGCACATAATGTGGCCATGGATGCAAGAGTAACACTGAGCTCTGGCCATCTGACCAAATGAGTAGCTAAGCAAGAAGGGATGTGGTCAGGGAGGAGACTGAGAACCCAGCCGCCCTTCTCACAGGGTGTTTTATATGTTGCATGTGTGTTGTGTAAAAATGGCTGTACCTTGAAATCCCATGTTGGGTGGGTTTGATATGACACAGAAATAAAACTAGACCTGAAAGATATGAACCATCTCTTAAAACTTATGAGGACCCTGATCGAATACCCAGAAATATCGACTTTCCTACAGTCAGAGAACGCAGCACCGCGTCCAGGGATGTTTACGTTGTGTTGCTAGGCAACAGCTGCGGAGAGTTTGTACTAGCTGACCAGCTAACCCGGTTTGCTCCTGACCAATCAAGTTTTAAAGTAATTGCTCTGAGGAGGTTCGTCCCCAATGGCCGGTGTTCTGATAGACCCGAGCCGGGCTCCGGTGCCCTTCGGCCGGTGGGCCGTACCGCAGCTGTTTGAGGAGCTCCGGCGGCCGGAGACCGACGGGAGGCGGCGAGCTCTGGCCTCACTCTGCGACCTGATGCACGACCCGGAGCGGATCTACCAGACCGTTAACGGAGGTACCCTCTGTTCGCATGTGGGTTATATACAGTCTGTTGTGGTGAAGGAAATAAAAGTACTAACACACTCACAGTAGAAATACTCTGTTATAAGCAAAAGCCCCGGATTGTAAAACGTAGTTATTTAGCAAAATGTACTTTAAGTGTTAAAAGTACCCAGTGGAGTAAAATGGGCCTGTGACCGTTGTGCTGTTATAACGTGGGCTTTGTCATTAGATTATTATTCATTCATTAAAGGAAGTGCAGGGTTTTATGCAGCTAATGTTTTATGTTCACAGTTTAATCTGATTATTGATCAAAAACGTTAAAGGAAAAGCAACAACCGAGAAACTGGAACCATGAAATGTTGACAGAATCACAAGAAAAATGACAAATGATAGTTGGTTAATCGACTAATAGTTTCAGCTTTGTTTCTATTTGAATAATTTAATCTATATAACAATTTTATTTGTCTTGTTTGCAAACTAAGAAGTGCTGTAGAGACTCTTTAGACGTACTTGTCCTCTACATCATCTAGTACTTATCAGAGACTTTACTGCACAGCCACCCTGTTTACTGCTGATACTTTAACTTCTACACAAAGCTGGGAGCACGTCTGCACTCTGTTGCTGACATACTGTCACTCTGCAGGTTTCCTGGAGCAGTGCAGGGATTTGTTGATGGACGAAGACCCGTCGGTCAGAACAGAAACCTGTGAGCTGCTAAACCTGCTGACCGGCCATGCCATCGGCAGGTACACAGACGCATTACGGAAGCCTACTGGTGATTTAACTGTGTGGATCAGTACACGTGAGAAACGGGGAGTTCATCTCATCACCTGTTCAGGTGTTAGACTAGATTTTTTTTTATTGCAGTGAACAAACTAATAAGCAAAACAGAAGAATAATAGAAAAAGGACTCTTGTGGGCTCCGACCAGCAGGTGGCGGTCTCACCCTGTAGTGACGTCCAGGTGAACTGAAGCTTGGTTTCCTCTGGCAGCTGCAGGAAGGTCCTGGCTGTCCACCTTTAGGCACAATCAGGGGGTCACAGTGATGTGAGGGCTTCTCAGCCAACAACAACAAAATCATTAAGAAAAAAAATCAGCATTTGACAGGCTGAGCCGTGTCGACTCGACCACATGTTCTGATGACAGTGGTTAACACTATACTCTCTAGAGACTCCGTGGTTCAGGCTCTGTGTTTGAACTCGCCCTCAGTTTTAAACGCTGTGGGGGTCAGTGTTCTGTGCTGAGTGATGTCAAACACTTCATAGTAACACAACTTTGTAGCTACACACAGACTCACTGAGCAGGCTGCTGTAGTTGTAGCCTGCAGGGAGAGAAGATCACAAAGCTCATAGTAATAATCAGCTGAGCCAAAGATCAATGTGTCTGATCCCTCTGTCGTTTCATTTGGATCCTGGCAGCCAGACGGTCAAATCACTGGTTTCAGTCTCTGATCAACAGAAAATGAATCTGGAGCCAGTTTGGTAATTGAATAATTATTTTAGTTCTTAAGAAAAATAGCAAAGCTGATGTGATTTCAGCTTCTTCTGTGATAATCTGATGCTTCCTTGTGCCTTATATAAAAGGAGAGTGAAAGGCTTTGGGTTGGTAAATGGTCTTATACTTGTATTGTATACTTTTCTACGCTTTACAGCACACTCAAAGCGCTTTTACACACTACTTGGCCATTCACACTCCCAAACACTTTTGCAGGTACTTTTCACCATGTCTGAGTGTTGGAGAATCTACAGATGAACTGACAATGAACATGATCATTAGTTGTTGCCGTACTCTGATCAATATGTTAAATTGCCTTCTGGGGTATTGAAAAGGTTTTAAAGAGTTAGTGGGACTTGGTTGTAACGAGGACATGAACCTGGACCTGGGGAAATGTTCTGGGGACATTTTGGAGGAAGGAGCTGCCACTGACCAGCTGCTTTGTGCCTCCTCCTGCAGACAGGCCCTGCTCTCCTCCTCGCTCCTGCCTCCTCTCTCTCAGCTGCTGGACGACGACTCGTCCTCCTGCAGGACTGGCGCCCACCACGTGCTGAACTGCCTCGCCCAGCTGCCTGCAGGTACACTCGCTCCCCATGGGCTGACTGATTTAAGAGCCCTGAGTGTTGTTCTAACTGTCATTGTTTTATCTGAGTTTGGGAGCCACGGCTCAGATTGGTAATGGCTAGCGGGAAAAACAGACTGCAGCAATAAATTGTGAGCTTCATTCAAGAATTACTAAGCGTCTTGATGATGGTGCTCGGGGCCACTGTCTCTGTGCGAGTTTGGGAGTCACTGTAAAGCTGAAAAGGTTTCATTGAATTCATTTGTTGCAACATAACAATGTCATGTTGATTATTACTGAAGCTAAATGATCCAGATGATGCTGCTAGGAGGTCGGTGTTGTGAATCATGTGAACTGTGATGGATTTATTTCTTTGCTTTCCCTTCCACACGAGTCGACCTGTGACTGTATCACCACTGCGTGTCGTCCTGCAGCTGCAGAGGCCCTCCTCAGTCTGGTTCCTAAACTGATGCTGAAGCTCGGAGAAGAGGAGGAGGAGGAGGCGCAGGTGCTGCTCCTCTCCACTGTCAGCTACTGCTCCAGGATGGACCCTCTGCCAGCCCTGAGCTACGATGGCGTCTCGCTGCTGGGCCACAAACTCTCCCACAGATCCCCGAACATCCGCAGAGAGGCAGCTGCAGCTATGATGGCCCTCAGGTTAAACACCAGGCTCTGTTTACTGACGAGTGACATGAGCAAGGTTACAAACTCTTACTGGTCGCTTCAACGATCCAGTTCTTGTACCATAACCATGCCCTGAGAACTATTCTCAGCACTTTCACTGGTTTACAGCTTCAGTTATTTTCCTGACATTAAAGTAACACTTCATTTCCTGCCTGTGTGGCCACTTCACCCTCAGCTCCTACATGTAAACTCAAACTTAAGTACCGAGACTAAAGCGGGGCCGATGAGTAAATCCATGCTTCAGCTTCAGTCAGTGCAGTTAACTTCAGCGCTTATCTCACTGCAGGTTTCTGCTGTTGTAGAAGTATATCTAAATTAAAACCTGCCTTCAGGAGCTGCTTCATTTTGTTTCAGTAGTTTGTTTGTTGACCCGACTGCTGCTGGTTTCAGCGTTCTTGACGACGGGAAGCGGCAGGTGTGCGAGGGGGCGCTACTTCCTGTCTTGGTCCATCTGCTGCAGGACGATAACCTTGAGGTTCAGACCAACGCTGCAGGAGTCCTCATGTACACTCTGATCCTCACCACAGGTACAAACACACACACCTGCATCTGTTTCGGACTCACAGCTGCATCTTCCAGATGAAAGTCTGATGACAGGAACACTGAGCTGAGGTTTTTGTGAAGAGACAGGCTCAGACGGCGAGCTGCCGCCATCCTCCCGGTTTATGTTCTCACCACCATTATGTTTACTGGTAAATACTACAGTACCCACGAGGCTGAGGTTGCTGCTGTTGCTATGGAGACGACGCCAGTCACCACGGTTACTGAAATCATTGCAAACTGATCCAGAGTCAGACTGAAGTGATTCAATGTGCTATATGTTTTGTCCGGTTCCTACCAAGTGTGACGTGCAGCTTCAACCACAAAATTTGGAGTTCTGTGATTGGATGTCTGTTAGTGACGTGCACCATGGGTGTTGTAGTCTTCCTGTGTCTTCAGCTTTCTGTACTGAGGGTTATTAGTCACCAGCTTGCCTATGAGATAAGACCCTGGACTCTTCCTGCAGGAGTCTTTGACGTTGCTAACAAACAGTTGTGTTGTGTCTGAATCTTAATTGCACCATGTGACCTCTCACATCGGTTTCCTATGGAACTCTGACTGAACTTCTCGTGCTGCAGGTAAGCAGCTGTGCCTGGAGCTAGGCATCATCCCTGTGCTGCTCCACCTGGTGAAGAGAGACGAGCAGGCAGAGGAGAAGGTGAGGAAGGCCCTCATCCTGTACTCCCTGCGGGCGCTGACCTCCCTGGCTGAAGCTCCCGATGGCCGCCACCTCCTGCTGGAGCAGCTACCCCTGCTGGTGAGGAGAAGCGAGGCTCCAGAAGAGGACCAGGACATCCGGCAGGCCGCTCAGACCGCCATCAGGGTCATCAACCGGGCCTCCTGAGACACCGTGACCTCTGAGCTCCAGAGCAGGCTGGTCTCAGCTGGTACGATCATAAATAAAATAACTGACTATAAATCCTATGTAATGTGATATGCACAGTGCAGTAAATGTGTACAGTGTGCAAAGATTCATGAATCGCGTTCTCTTCTTGGTTAAACTAGTATTTTTTAACCTGTCTTGCTTGTACTTGGTGCTACAAACTGTGTGATCTTCACCCTGTCAGGTGCAGTATAGACCTGGTGAAACAAGGAACTGATGAAGTGGATAATGGATAAAAAGAAAATGAATATATTAAACAGAATAACTGGCTGCACCTTCACTGTTGCTTTTCTCTAGTCTTCTAAACATCTAATATCTCTGGGGTTTGAACTGTTGGATTCTGGGAAACGCAGGTGATCAGTTTTCTCTATTTTCTGTCAAATATGAAACCCAACAGTAAATTAGCTATTCAGAGAGGTAACCAGCAGAGGAACCGATAAACCTGGTCCGGACTCGAACATCTGCTCCTCCGCTTTCCCACCGGCCACCTGGTTTCATCACCGTGTAGGTGGGACCTCACTCCTCCTATGTTCACAAAACAAATGGATTAATCCAGAAAACAATAACGGGGTGACTCATTAGAAATCTCATTACTGCAGTCCTACATCACAGAATGTGCACAACGTCGCGCACACATCGATGTGTACTCTACATTAGAGGTCAGAGTACTATTCCAGTACTTTATCCTTTGGAGTGCAGTATTTTTACACAGCAGTACTTCGTTGCTCCAGCACAAGTTTGTATAAATGACGTATTAAGTACATTTCCGACGCTCACCTTCGGCGCTGTGGTGCGTAGCCCCACCCCCCGCTGCAGATGGACCGGTCCAGAGACGGGGACTCGGCTGCCGTCACGCACGCACACGCACTCCGAGTATATTTGGGAGAGAGCGCTGAGGAGCAGCTGATAACGGAGCCGTCGTTTGTGACGAACCCCGCTAAAATCGACACGCAGGTAAGATCCACCTGGCCAGCTGCGGGGTCACGTGACCGTAATTATTCCGTATAATAATCCTGTGATATGGACAAGTGGCCAAACACCAAGTCCTCGTGTGGAATATTACATTAATGTCAGCCTGTTTTCACACGGTGCGTTAGAAAATGAAACATTCACTCGAGTTGTTGTCGGAATCTTCTAGAGACGCGTTCGTCGGTGCGGTGACGTCCCGCTGGACCGCGGGGTCAACTTCTGTTTCCACCGTGCGCACACTGTGCGGATGTTCCGACAGTGTATGTAGGCACTGCAGGGACACATGCGCCTGTTTTAGCGGGACTTTTGCCCGGGTCTCTCCCCGGCTGTGACCGACGTTACCCGCTGGAGCCGGCGCTCCGACACGCCGGGCCGCGGTGCGCAGCAGCGGGCAGAGGCGCTGCAGCGGGCAGAGCCGCTCCGACGCCCTGCTCCTTTATGCAGGTGTCTCACGCTTTCCGTTTTTCCTTAAAATATATAGAAACCAGCTCAGTTCATCAGGTTCTAGAGATTTAATGAGGTTCATTTACTGTGTGAAATTATGTAAGAGGCTGCGGAGGAGGGAGGGAGGGCGGATTAAGGTGGAGGATGGTTTTATGTAACAGCCCCCACTTCATCCAGCATCACATCTGCCGGGCTCACCTCCAGCCAGTGTCTCTGTCTGTCTCTGTCACTGTGCGCTGACGTGGTGCCAGCTCGGGCTGATTCACTATCACTTCCAACCTTCTCTACCTTGGTTCTGCTGAGGATTTCAGGCAGAATCACGACTTGCTGCTGTTGGTGTTTGTGATGTGGATGTCACGGTGCTTGAAGGTGCTGTTTGTGTCTGTGCTTTTGGTTTGGACAGTAGGTGTCTTTGTTTGAAAGGTCGTCAGTGGTGTTAAAGTTGAAACCACAGTTTGTGGTTTTCTTTTATGGCCAGAAAACGTGTCAAAGGGGTTTTGGTTTAAGTCCCTTTGCCAAAGTAATGGTTTTTAAAAGACCAAAATGTTTTGTAAAGAAATGGGAAAGCTATTAAAGAAACACTAACAATGACCAGACTTTAACTTAAATGTCATATAACTGGTAGAACTGGTGTAAACAAACGACCAGTCACACACATGTCAGTGCTCAAACGTGTGTGAGTGTGCGTCGATTCCGTTCTTGCCTAAGAACGAGTCCCAGATAACCAAACACCCGTGGATGCCAGAATCTTCATGAAAACATCTTAAGTGGGTTGGCGGATGTAGCCCGTTGCTTTAGGTGGATAGGCATTATGGGGCAGTGCCCCGTCTTGGTGGAGGTTTGCACTCTCTGTCCAGTTGTTGTGAACAGATGTGTGTGCTAAAGCAGAAGTATACATGCAGTCTGATATCTGAGGGACTGTGCAGGTCTGAGAGGAAGAAGCTGAGGTCGAAAATGCTTCTTCTCATGTGAAGAGCAGAGACGGGATCGGTCCTCTGGACGTGGGAGAAGAGTGTCGCCATGGAAACATGAACAACAGCATCTCCGCTCATAGGTTTGATGTGAACTGTTTGCTGTAAAGTGTCATTTTTGTAGAATCTGCTCCTGAATCTTTGGCTGAGGTGACAGGTCAGAGGTCACGGTGCTCTGAGAGCTCAGAAGAAGTGGGACTGTGACACACAAACGCTCTGAGAGCCCAGAAGAAGTGGGACTGTGACACACAAACTGTGTGTGATGATGTGAACTGTAGCTGTCAGACCGGCTCCGTGTGTCTGTCCCATTGAACCCAGCAGGGCTGTGAATAATAGTCTGAGCCCAGTGGGAGCTGTGCATGTCTGTGTGTGTGTTGCTGCTCACACTGATGGTTTCCTCCAAACACAACATTTCAGCCTCAGCACATGATCACATGACAGACTGAGCTCGGTGTCGTCCCAGCCGTTATTCCTAAAGGAAACCCAAAGTCTGGTCAGTAATCGCGCTGCTCCAGCCCACGTCTCTTGTTTTACTACGACGTCCACGTTCGACTGTCTCCTACAGGTTTACACACACCTCACATGCTACTGAAGGACATGGAGCTGTGGTTTATCGTGTTTCTGTGAACTTAATGAAGAACTGTTCATTTACATCTTTGGCCGTGAATGTGCCAGTAAAGTGAAACATTCGTGTGCGGGTCCCACCACAGTCCCAGCTCTCCCAGTCCAGTTCAGCTCGCGCACGGTTCACGTCAGACTGAACCGCCATCTGCTTCTGAGGTGAGGTTGTCTACCAGCATCAGAACACGTGACTGACTTGTTCGCTGTGTGTGTTGTTATTACAACCTTTATCAGTTCAGGATGCGATCAGTGCTCTGGGCTGTGGCAGTGCTGGTAAGGAAACAGACATGGAGGTTTTCAGCTCAGAGACTCGTGGGATACATTGCTCTCGATGCTGCTGGTCCATCACTGGTTTGGCTGAACTGTTTCAGGGTCCAGTGATGGACCACGTTCAGAGCACACAGGCTTCTCAGCTTGGGGTTGATTCTCATCCCTCCCTCTGCGTGGGCACTCTCCTCTATTCCTGGACACATGAGTCATGTTCAGTCGTGTTATACAATAGAACCTTTGCTCCACTGAAAAACAGGAATAGAAGCAGGACCAGAGCTGAGCTTCTGAGGCTGATACTCTGCTACCTCTGCTGTGTTTCGTTCCTGTTTAGAGGCTTGAATCCCTCAGCATCGAGGGACCTGAGCTCTGTCTGACCCTTTGTGACAGGTCAGTGGTCCTGGTCTTGACCTTCCTTCAGCCCGGCCATGAGGCCGTGCTCATGACAGAGAATCTGCTAATGCAGCGTCTCAGTAGATAAGGAGCGATGTGTTTGATACTGAATGAAGCTGTTGGAAGTGTGTGGAAGCAGCAGTATAACACCCCACATCTGGCAGACAGTCGTCCTGTTTCCTGCTTTGCCTCGGGGAGTCAGTCCCACCCGAACGTGACACTGAATGTCCTGTGACAGTTTGTGTTTATGTGGTCAGGACTGAACAAACAGCTGCAACATGCTGGTGGAGGAACCAGAGCAGAGACCAGTGACAGACTCACCAGCTGCCTCCTTTTAAGATAGTTAACTAAAATACAAGTACAACAAAACTATGTACAAATACTCCATTACGAGCCAAAGTACAGAAGAATGAAGAGTGAAAGTAACTTCCTTCCTCTGGTTTTGTGAAGTATTTGTTAGTTTTAAGTGTTTTGATAACTGAACACTTATTTCACTCAAATATTTCACCACAAATGTAAAATATTCGCTGCTTCACTGTGACAACTTTTAGTTTTTCTGTCAGACATGATGGTAAACGTGATCATCTGGTGGTCGGATACAACAAGATACTGAAGACTCTGGGGAACTACCACAGGTGTTTCTTTGTTTACTCTCATTTTATTGACAAAATGATGAATAATCTGCAGATTAGTCACTAATGAAAGTAACTGTTGGCTGTGGTCCTAATCTGAACTGGCAGCTAAAGTTGTGTGATACGTCTAGTGCAGTAAAAAGTACTTTGTTTCCCTCTGAGCTGTATGGAGTAGAAGTAGTAGAAAATGGGAGTACTCAGGTGAAGTACCTGAAGGTTGTGCTTGAGTACAGTACCTGAGTGAATGTACTTGTGCCGCTGGTGTGCTGTAAAAAGCAGAATGTTCCTTTAATAACTGTGTAAGTCGAATCCAGGCTGCAGCAGCGTGAATGTATTTGTGCCACTGCTGTGCTGTAAAAAACAGAATGTTCCTTTAATAATTGTGTAAGTCGAATCCAGGCTGCAGCAGACGGAGCCTCCGCTCTTATCTCTGAGCACAGCGGGGTCTGTGGGGCCGAGATGAGGGGGCTGTTGATGCTGCAGGAATGAGGCCATGGGCACAGACAGCGGTGGGGGCGGGGGCGTTGAGGCCTCCGTCTACTCGACAACAGCTCTTTCACTGCAGGAATTTTAAGTTGTGTTGGTTGATATGACAGAAGAGCAAGTTCCTCAGTGTCTGACATCAGATGAGAGTCACACTGAGGCTCGTACGTCTAAAAACGCAGCTCTGGTTTGTGTTTTTAACCACAATGAACCATCAGACTCTATTGATCCCAGTGGGAAATCCACCAGCTACCCAGCAGGATGTAAAGTACTTCACAGTATAAGTATATAAGGTAGTTACCATCAGCTCCACCTTTACCAGCTGCAGCATTAAAGTGATGGACACAGTAATTAGTCACTATGATCCAGTATCAGAGACATTACTGGGACACAGGCCATTCTGCAGGACGAGTACTGGTACTGATGGTACTTCAGGTAGATTTGGATGCTGATGCCTTTGTACTTTTACTGATGTAATGTGTTGAATGCAAGATTTGTACTTATCACAGAGTATTTGTACTTTTACTTGAGTAAAGGATCTGAGCACCTGGATTCCAGCACTGGTTCCAGATGTGCCCCTCAAACACAACTGGACTGTGTGAATGATTATACTGTAACACTGGTAGGTAGGGAAAAGGGGGTGAGGAAAGGTAAGAAAAGAAGGAGCTAAGGAAATGACTGAGTAGGAAGGAGGGAAGTAGGGAAGGAAAGAAGGCAGTACCTTGCTCCTCCAGGTGAGCTGCTGTCAATCAACACTTCACAGTGAAGCCACTGTCGTCTGCACCAGCCAATGGCAGCAGCCATTAGCTTAACGATGTCAGACTGGGCGTGGTCATGTGTCTGTGAGGTGAGATAAGAGCTTGCCAACACACACACACACACACGCTGTAACTACGTCTTGTGATTTCGTGTTTCTGACTTGCAGCAACGCTGCTGACAGACTGACACTGACTGACACTGAACAGCCGACAGTGGCAGGCGGCCATCTTGGAACTGTCTGCTGGGGTGGAGGATGTGCTCCGAGCCGGGGACTGTCAGAGTTTTTCCTCTCCGCTGTTGCCAAGTGCTGCTTACATTGTTGTGAATTGGCGCTGTACAAATAAACCTAGCTGGACTAAAGTGGACCGAGCCCCTCTGTCACCGTGCTTCTACTTAAGCAGAGGATCAGTACCCT